TTGGTGGAGAGGGGCCCACCTAGCTTCCACATGGTGGACTGATGAGATCAGATTGAGAACTGGGTGGTAGACTTTGGGGAGAATGCCCCATTTAACAAAAACCCGGCCCCGAGGGGGGGTCATAAAGGAGTAGGGGCTGCAGGGAAGAGATAGGTGAGCAACTGTGTGAAAAACTGTTGTGGGTGGAAAATTTATCTTTTTCTTGTCCTTTTTTATTTGTAGTAGGAAAAGATTTCTTTCAAAGCATCTAGGCAGCACTGGGAATTTCATACCCATCATTAGAACGATGTGTGTGTGTGTGTATGTGTGGTGCCTATGTTATCATTAGTGGTATAATTTTATTTTGTGAAGAGAGAAGTGTTTCCTGTTTTATCACAGCTTTCCCTGAGGAGGGCTGGTGTATTAATTTGCTGTATTGCCTCCTGGCTGTTCCCAGGCTGTTTTTCCTCTTCATCATGGAATTTTTAATGGCCCTCGTGCCTCTTGGGAAGCATGTGAGGAAGAGTTCCTCAGGGAGTGCTTCCCTTTTTTCACATGCCTATAATTACTCTCCTTTAAGAGCACAAAGAGTCTGATAATCATGCCCGAACTAGGAACTATGCCTGTAAGTTGAGCCAAGGCTGCTTCCTGCCTGGACACTGCTAAGTCCTCTCTCTCATACACCTAACTACTTCATGAAAGTGAGGGCTCCTCGGCAGGAGGGCCTCCTGCTCACTGCTCAGGCCACACATGACTCTGGTTCTCATAATAGCCTGTGGGCACTGGGGGTGATCCATGACCTTAGGGTACTTGCCTATTTAGTATTTTTTTTTAAGTTTATTTTTATTTCTTTTATGAGTCAGAGAGACAGACAGGGAGCACCCCCAACAGGGTCTTGACACCTCCCTCCACTCCCAGCCTCAGCCAGCCCTGGACCATGCGCATGAGGTCTCTGGACATGAACTGGGACCTTCCTGTGTGAGTTAGCCTTGCAGAGTGTCGTGTTTTTATTTCTGTGCCACCATCTGATCCATAGTCTTCAGACACCTTATTTAGTATTTCTTTGCTATAAGCAAATAATAAAGGTATCATCATTTTAAGATAGTGCTTTATTAATTTATCATTTTAATACAGCAAATGACTAGGAGAGGGTGTTTTACAGTATCCATACCATCTAGTAGATTTATAGATTAAACGCTTTCAGAAATATCACTCTAGAAATACTGAAGTTTGGGATTTTTCATGCTGGTTTAATTGGTTTGGGATTCAGCCCAGGCATTGGCATTATTTTAAAGCTCTCCCAGTGACTAATGTGCATCCAGGGTTAAGAACCGTTGCCCTAGGTGCTTGTGGTTTTGTGACTGGTGCTCTGTAATATGTGCAGGAGGGGCTCGCATTTCATAACTGATGTGAGCTCTGTACTTCTGTATTATGCTCATGGCTCCTTAGTGGAGCTAGAATTCTGGGGTTCTCTTGGCTTTAGAGAACCTGCTGCAGGTGAAGAGTGTGCCCAGCACATAGTTCTAAATAACTGGAGGGTGGAGTTTCATTGGGTGGATATATGGATCGTTGAATCGTTTGGTTGTGGATGAAATATATAAACCTGTTGTTTGGGTTTGGCTATTTTGGTTGCTAATATTGAGATTTGTTACTGAAGTGGTAATACTAACATTAGTGTTGAGAATTGCTGCTGTTCAAGCAGTAATTGTGTGCTCGGGTAGAGGTAGTGGTATTAGAGCCAAGGGCAGTCACAGTTTATAATGAGATGGCGCTGGAGGCAGCTTTTCTCAAAGTGGAAGATTGTGAAGGATTGCTTTTCTAACCATTACTAACTATAGAAAATAACGAGAACTTACCAATTGCTAATTATGGATTAGCCACA